GCTTAAACCACTACGCCTTCCGTGCAGTCATTTTGATTAACTACCTACTCTAGGAACGTAAATATCCTGCAACCGGATCTCGTCCTATCACGACATGCTCTAATTTGATTATCTACTTGAAATCTTACGAACTAGAGTTGGCCCCGTGAGGGTCATGACTAGAGTGACGACATGGAAATGATACTACTTCTAAATCATATTCATATGATGTAATGATTGGTTTCAGTCACAGCAATTTTACACGTGATTTTGTGATTATGTCATAGACAAAATTAAGTGCCATTAAAATCATTCAAAATTCTTTTTATCAAAGATTACTACCTTTTTTTAGATTTTAGGAATTTTACGAGTCTGCCGCTTCATCATCAACAGCCTCTAATGGTCCACTGTTGGAAACAGGCCTCTTCTTAGACAGAAGTTTGTGGCCTACTGTACCACGCTGGCCAGACGGGTTGGTATAGGGTTCGTTTCTAGTTTTTCTTCTCTTTGCAGTGCTGTTGTTCTGCGTAGTTTGCTCCCTTAGTCGGCTCTAACGACACCCACAGGATAAATAGGGGTGGTGACACTCTGTATTCTTAATCTGTCACCACACGGATAACGATATCATAGGAGATTGTGATTTTATTCCACCCCTGGTCATGACCCTAATAACACCCTTTGGATCCGCCCTTGAGTTTATGGATGTATGTTTTAAGATCGCACCCTTGCTGTTACCCCATGAGCTCAATACGATAGTTTTTCTATTACCTATCACAAATATATCAACTTTGTATTTTATTAATATAAACATTGTTATTCGCAACCGACTACATACAAAAAAATAGCAGTAACTTAAATCGGTACAGTCCGCGAGACCTAAGCTGAGCTTTGCATTTGTGTGAGTGATCACCAAAAGAAGTCAGATAAAATCCTTTTAAAATATTTTTTATTATGTTTTTAGTAGGTACATAACATAAGTGGGAGAGGTATCCTAGTTTAAAAATAAAATAAAACTAAATAGTCAAAAATTTATAAAATAAATGCCAGTTATGATAAGTATGTATGACTGATGAGTATGTGTCTTGTGTAAGTATGACAGAAGTCAGAGATCATCATCATCATCAGCATATCGCAGTCCACTGCTGGACATAGGCCTCTCCCATTGCACGCCACTTAGATCGATTTCGGGCTTCTCGCATCCAGTTCCTGCCAGCCATGTTGTGCAAAATCTTCACTCCACCTGGCCTACACTACACTACGTTTCCCGAGACATGGTCTCCAGTAAAGAACTCATTTGCCCCAAAATTCATATATAAAAAAAAACAATTCTTCTACAACCGACATTGCATCTTCATCGTGAATCGTTCCGTTATATCATGAAGAACAGCGTCGTGACTATAAAACAGCTTTTCTTCTGTTATTATGTGATCACATACATCTTTCCATTCTTGTACTGTGACAGTCTCAAGTTTTCCTTTCGCTAACCTCATTATTGTATCCATATTCATTGACACCTTTTTTTCGCCACGTATCGTTTTATCATTGCCCATATATTATCGATTGGGTTGAAATCCGGGTGGTAGGTTGGTGGACGAAGGACGCTGTGACCATGTTCTCTAAGTGTCAATTTTATATTCCATAAATCTTTGTTTGTTTTGCAGTATCCATTGATTGAGTTGTGGTTTAAGCGTCGATGTAGAGTGATCCATATTACGATACTTGAGCGAGTCTGCACGGATGGCGTAGTGTATTAAGCGGTCGCCACGCCGCTTCCTACTACGCTGAGTGTTGCGGGTCCGATCCCCATATAGAACGACACTTTGTGCGATCCACAAATTGTAGTTCTAAGTCTGGGTGTTCTTTGTGTCCGTTTCATGTATGTTTGTAAAGTCCCTCGCGCCACAGGATATATTCCTAATGCGAGAGTTGTCTTTTTAAGGCAAATAAAAAATAAAAGTCAATCGTATTTTGTTTACGACTATTTGAGTTGGAGCGGGATTTTCTAACGAATTGTGGTAAGATGCATTGTCTAATGGAATTAATTGCGTTTGTAACCAATTCGTGTAGTTTTCTGCATTCATGTTCACGTGTTTTAGTAGTGAATGCAGAAAACGACACGTGAACTACTCTAGACCGACGTCACACCTACATTATCTATGTGCACTCACACAAATGTAAGGCTCATCTTAGGCCTCGCGGACTGCAGCGGACTTTACAGCAGATTTAATTTAAAAAAAAATGTTTTTATTAAAAAAAAAAAAATTAAAAAATGTGTTAAGAAAAATATAATCTGTTTATAAGCAGTCTGGTTACCTAAGTAAGTACAGACTTTCCCTAGTTTGGGATCAGACTGCCATGTGTGAGATGTGTGAAGTTATTATAGTTCAAAATTATAAACCTAGATACATACTTCATCTATGTATGTATCTATGTCCAGCAGTGGACTATAAAAGGCTGTTGATGTGTGATGTGTTACTTAATGTATCTTGATGCGTCTTTACGCATATAATCGTTCTCACGCCAACAAATCATTGTCTTCATTTATTTAAAACCGTTTAAATCTTCTGTTGTTTCTCTACACAATGTCATATTCAGTGCCTATTAAATCTGAACCGCCCACGTGTTTGAATATAATGGCGGTTCGTGTTCATTCACTGGCTTTCCGTTACACAACATGTTATGGTGATGTTAAATATCGATTCTGCTATAAAATCATGTTTAACTCGTCTTTAAATAATTAATTATCTGCATATGTTGCTCCGAATATATTAAGACTATTTTTAGAATAACGGTTTTGCTCACGTATGTTTTTGAAAATGTCCGACTTGTTTGACGTCTGATACTGTCGCGGTAGGAAATTTCGCTCATTGGAAAAGACCGGTCCTACACTATTCGAGAGGCCTCGAAAAGCACATTTGAATAAAACGGTTTATCCATGTATTTAAATGTTAAGTCAGGTAGTATACGCTTGAAAAACTCAGAAAGTTCTGCACTGATTGATCTTAAATTTTGGAATGATAAACAACCCGCATCAAAGATGTTTTATATCTATTTTTCGTGTCTGTTTTATTCCTTATTGCTCATGAATGAAACCAGCTTGCCTAGCTACCAGTTTTTTTTTATAAGGAAATGGTTTTTAATATTTTCATAAATTTTATTTTTTTGAAAGCATAAAGGAAGAAACACAAGTCTCGCACCGCGATTCTTTTACAACAAATAGTGGCGAGATTTAGTTGTTATTTTATTTGTTAACTAATAACGTTTTATAGGAAACGTAAATAAATAATCTATACTTATATTACGAACTGTATGTTTGTTTGAACGCGCTAATCTCAGGAACTACTAGTCCGATTTGAAAAATTCTTTCAGTGGTAGATAGCCCATTTATCGAGGAAGGCTATAGGCTATATATCATCACGCTAAGACCAATAGGAGCGGAGCACCAATAAAGAATGTTTCAAAAACGGAGAAAATTTATTACTATTGAGAGACGCAGACGAAGTTGCGCGGGTCAGCTAATTATATATATAGCTATTTCATCCCAAGCTGATCAGGGTCGCATACCTGAACCACCATACCTTTTTTTGTGTTATTTTCACGTGTGTAAACCCCCTGGGGCCATCACCCCACCGGGGTTTACGTCGGGGTGGTGTGGGACTAATCCCACCCACACACCCACCACTGTAACTCCTGTACACTAGGATCCACAGCAGTGACCCACGAACACACCGAGTTATGACACTCGGGAAGTCCCAGGAAGAAATTAAACTGTCTTGGAACCCGCAACGAAATTAATCAGAAGAAAATTGGAGGAGTTGGAAATACAGTAAATCCACTTCCCTCCTTAGCAAAGCGGGAGACAAAATGAAGTAAAATAGGCATACACATGATGGGGTGGTGTGTCGGAATCGGAACGACTAAAACCACACGGTGTGCTACCCTGCGCCTGAAATAGGAGAAATCCGAGAACTACTATTATTAAGACATCCAGACCACCTAACACATACCAAAACTTGAAATGGCTATTGTCAGCGTTTTCGACCCTTTTTACTGAAATTTTATATTAATCATATTTTAAGTATTTGTTATCTTGTACTAAGTTTCAATTAAATTAACGCACTTGCTGACTTGGTTTGCATCTCTCATAATGAATACATTTTCCCCAGTTTTGGCAAAATTTTTCATCAGTGTTTAGCTCCTATTGGTTGTAGCGTGATGATAAATAGCCTTCGTCAATAAATGGGCTATCCAACGCTAAAATTATTTTTCAATTGGAACCAGTAGTTCCTGAGATTAGCGCGTTTAACCAAATGAACAACCTTTTCAGCTTTATAATATTCGCATATAAGTATTAGGTATGCCTATATTATACTACTTATGTCCGTGTGGTGACAGATCTAGAATATGGTGTGTCACCACCCCTATTCATCCCGTGGGTGTCGCAAGAGCCGACTATGGAAGCAAACTCTGCAGGATAACAGCCCTGCACAGAGAAGGAAAACTTCAAACAAACCCTATACCGACCGGTCCGGCCAGCGTGGTATATTAAAACCTCCTTTCTAAGGAGAGGCCTATGTCTAGCAGTGGACTACTAAGGACTGTTGATGATACTTATATTATTACTAGCTGACCCGCGCAACTTCGTCTGCGTCTCTCAATAGTAATAAATTTTCTCCGTTTTTGAAACATTCTTCATTGGTGCTCTGCTCCTATTGGTCTTATCGTGATGATATATAGCCTATAGCCTTCCTCGATAAATGGGCTATCTAACACTGAAAGAATTTTTCAAATCGGACCAGTAGTTCCTGAGATTAGCGCGTTCAAACAAATAAACAAACAAACAAACAAACTCTTCAGCTTTATAATATTAGTATAGATTAATAGCTGTGAGTTACTATACCATATAAACAGCTCTCTGTTTTACTCGGTTTTGCTTGTATATCTCCGTGCAAGACAGTGCGGGGTCTTAAAAAACAATTACTTTATAATTATTTTTAACTAAAGTGTTCTCTTTGTTTCAGGTCACTTCTTATATTTGGCTGTGGATCCCACAATGGAGAATATGGTGATTAAATCACCACCTTTTCAAGGTTTATGGGATTTCTGTAAGGTATGTGTCTTGTGGTATTTAGTTAAATATTATTTTATAATATATTTTATAATATTAAGTCACCTATCCATCAAATATTTTAGCATTTGCGTATGCGAGAATTTGAATTCTTAAGTCTTTCTGGTGTTTTTTAAGGTTTCACTTTTATCTATTATTAAATAGAAGTGCTAAAAGCTAATAAAAATAATTAACATGGGTCATATAGTTAATATAGTTTAAAAAACGGGCACACGACGCTACAGAACTGCAAGTGTATGAAGTAACAATTCAACTTATATACGGTTATATTAAATAGATATTTTTAAAACTCAATAAATAAAACTAATTGATTTATGAATGAAATTCGATTGAATTATTAATAAAACAACTAATATTTATAATTAATAATGGGACTGGAAGACGGAGCTTGGATATTAACCCTACAAGGTTGTCCGACGACCTGGTGAAGGTCGAGGGATGCCGTTTGAAGCCTAGGACCGATTGTTGTGGCGAACTTTGGGTGGGCCTATGTCCAGTAGTGGACGTCTATTGGATGAGATGATGATGATGATTATAATTACTCAGTGCCTTTCTGGTTGTTAAGACTGCGGTCTTAAACGGTTGGACTGATTTTCGCGAGACTTTTTCTGACAGAGAGCTAATGTTGTAAGGAGTAACATAGGGTCCTTGTAATTAGGATGTGTAATTTGTGCCCCTCTCGAAAATATAAATAGGTTCATGGAAGATGGATAGGCCGGCGCTATTGCTCCATGCACGCATGCATGCAGAAAGCCTCAAACGCCGTAAATTAAAAAACCTAATAGGTAATTACATTTTTGAACTGTTTCGGGTTGAGATGCTAGGGTTATGGGTCCGAGTGATCGTGATATGTATAAACAACTGATCAACACATTTCGGTACCAGAAGACCGCCCTTCTTCTAGCAGACATAATTAGCGTTGTAATTCAAAACTCTTCTGGGAACACCACTAGTATGCAAGTATACGGAGGAATTTTTTTACGCTTATATCAAAGTATTGTAAAAAAAAAGTATATATGTATTTATATCAGTTGTCTAGTACCCATAGTACAGGCTCTGCTTAGTTTGGGACTAGATGGCGTTGTGTGTATGTGGTACAATATATATTATATCATATTATTGTATTGTAGTTATTTTTATTTAATTATATTACTTATTTTAAATAAATTTATGTAAGCTTGTTAATAAATATGTAATCTTATTCATTTTTTGATTTTATTTCAGACTTAGTCTTTTTTGTTTTTATGTTAGAGGTGGCAGACGAGCAGACGTGTCACCTGTTGGAAAGAGACTATCGCCGCCCATTTATTCTTTCATATTTATTTCAGACTGAGTCCATAAAATTTGTTAGTAACAATTTTCTTAGCCTTAATTAATAAATTTTGTATATTTAATAGGTTAAACGCATTTTTTTAATTAGGTGTTTTTACTAGAATTTAAAGAAGAAAGAACATTAGTTATTTTACCAATAGTTTGTTAACATCCCTTGAAGTAAATACATAGATACTAAGACATACTTAGACTTGCATAAATGAAGAAAACCTAACCTTTTAAAACATCTTTCTTGTAGTTCGAAGTGATGTTGCACCAGAGCAAAATGCAGAACGCGAGTATTCGCCTGATCTCGGAATCAACAGAGACCGATATGCAGTGGATTCTACAAGAAGTTGCTGGAAACAATAACGGGAAGTAAGTAGTTTATTTCCTACATTATACATCTAAATACTAAAATATATAATTATTAGCTTTTGTCCGCGGCTCCGCTCGCTTCTATGTCGGTTTTCGCGGTAAAAAGTAGCCTATGTTACTCGCTGATAATGTAGCTTTCCATTGGTGAAAAAAATATAAAAATCGGTTTAGGGATTTAGGCGTGAAAGCGTAACAAACAAACAAACTCACTTTCACATCTGTACAAAGAAATAAAATTGAAGTGTGCGTTTGTAATGTCAAAATACGAGTATGTTTATAAATGTTGTTTCATGCTCACACGGTTATTTGCACGATACCTATGCCCAAAAACCAGTTGAAATATTTTTTTCTGTCTGTCTATTTGTGCCTGGTAATATTCAAAACGGCCGGATCGATTTTGATACTATCATTAAAGACCAGCTAGTTTATAATATAAGTATGTAAATAGGCCACGAAGAAGTATGTGTACCTAGGCAGTAAAATGATGTTTGTTCTGGATTATAAATCTTTCGATCTAATCGAACGACACCTCAAACGCCAAAATCCATAAATCCGTTTAGGCTACAGAGCGTGCCATGCCACACTCGAAATACATTTGGCTTAACAAAGTACATAGTTTGCTGTAAATATTTGTTCTGCGGTAATAATGGGACTAATTCCTACCACACGCCTACCACTTTTACTCCTGTACATCAAGATCAACAGCAGTGACCTACGAACACACCGAGTTATGATGTGTCCCAGAAAAAACTGTCTTGGAACCAGTAACGAAATTAAAAAAAGAAAAAAAGAAACAAAAGAAAGAACAAAAGAATATTTCACTTTGGTAATCATCAACAGCCTATAACAGTCTGCTGCAGATAGGCCTCTCCTTAGAAAGGAGGTTTTGGCCTACTATACCAAGCTGGCCAGACGGGTTGGTATAGGGTTTGTGTCAAGTTTTCCTTCTCTTTGCAGTTCTGTTGTCCTGCGTAGTTTGCTATTTTAGTGGCCTCTTACGACACCCATGGGATGAAGTCAGTGACACTCAGTATCCTTAATCCGTCACCACACATAATTGGAATTAATTTTAATAACTTTGGTAATAACATAACATATTATTTTCAGATGGTATCCCATGTTCCTCACCATCGGCAAGGTTCTCCAGGAAGTACGCATCATCATCGAGGTGACCCGTCCAACTTACGTCAGCCTTTCGCAATCTTTACCTCACATTGCCATAGACAATATTCGTATGACGGAGTGCGTGCCCGAGCCTCCGGTCCTCCCGAACGGGACATGTGTCCCGGGACAGATGAAGTGCAAAATTATGAATGTAAGTTGATTTTAAAACGAGTTTTTATTAAAATTAAAATAACCTCAGACATCTAACACACGGCCGTTTGATCCCATACTAGGCAGAGCTGGTGCTATGGTGACCAGACTGCTGATAATAATACGTAGACATACAGCGTGTAAGGCACGTCGTAACGAATACTGAAATAGTGTATTCAGACCATCATTCTGAGTCGAAAATCATTGGAATTTTCTGCCAGGAAAACTACACTTTTTATGCAATCTGCTGTCAAAGGTTAAGGTCATTCCCCGTAGGTATAGCACAAAAGTAATAACTACATGCGTTTTCCGTGCAAAGAGGCTACGCACACTAACACAAGTTAACGGCCGGAGTAGAGGCCTTGGTATGCGGTATTTATGAAATTGTTTTTAGTAAAATGTTCTGTTTACTCATTGTAATATCATTTTTCATCATTTTAACCAAAAAATGAAAGTTACAAAAAAATTGAAAATCCCAATGATTTTCGACCCAGAATCATGTTCTGAATACACTGTTTCAGTATTTGTTACAACGTCCCTCACAGCTTGTATATTTCTAAATACATACATATCTTTTTATATGAATGTTATGCAAAAACTCATCAAGTTCTGTGGGCCGAATGTAAGTTTTCACATCTAGTCACTCACGACGGCGAGCGCGTTTAGCGTTGCGATTGGTTGAGATTGAGAGTGCGAGTGCGAGTGCGAGTTGATGTGTAATAAACTCGCACTTGGCCCTCTGCACTGACTTTGACACGATATACAAAACGGTTCAAACATTGTTTTTATCTATTTATCGTGTCACGTTTGTTCCTCATTTCTCATCAATGTACCACAGGGAAGCGTGACAGGGAACAACTAATTATTGATACATTCACACTCAGCCACAGAATAAATGATCGTGTTTAAGGAAGGACAAAACGAATTAAGCTAAAATAATTTCTGGTAGATATACAACTACATAAATAAGATACATGTGTTTTGGACGAAAACACTTAAATCTTAATATAGAACCGCCCATGATCGCTTTCATTAAAATCGATGGAAATTTCCGAACCAATTAGTAATTTACGCATTTACTTATTTAATTTATAAGTGCTATTAGCTATTTATAATATTATAACATAACGTTCGGCTTACAGACTTACGAAAATAATCAACTAGGTTTTTCCGGCGGATTCACAACGTACATATTTTGGAACACACACGCACACACACCCACACACAAATACACACACACACACAGACACGCACACATACACAAGCACATATCTTCTATCCTCAGAGGGGTAACCAGACGCGTATTATTGTGTCAACTTTAATTTCAGTTCCACTTACGAAATGGAGGGCAAGCTTTTTACCGTCAACTGGACACTTTTAGACGCGACTAGATGGTAAAATTGGGCGGAATTTTAAAGGAAAACTATATATAAATTTATTTATAACTTCACACACGGTCGATTGATCCCGAACTAGGCAGAGCCTGTGCAATGGTAACCAGAATGCTGATAAACACACTTATATATTCCTAAATACATACATATTATAGATAAATTACACCTAAACACAGAACAAACCGGTAAGTACGATACTTACCACACAATATTTATCGTGCGTGGGATCGAACCCGTTGACTTAGCAGATGTTCTAATCATACTCGTATGTTAAATTAACAATGTCTTTTGCAGAGAGATTCGTGTATAAAGCTGCAACAAGTTTGTGATCTCGTACGGGATTGTGATGATGGAAGTGATGAGAATTGTGGTGAGTATTTATTTATAAGTATACTTTTAGACTTCACTTTATTTTTTTTTATTGTATAGGTACAAACGAACAGGGCCTCGATTCTGCTATTTAATGTTAACGCGAAGACACAGTGTCATTTCATTGACACGCTATTGTCGTCATATACGTCATAAACGTAATTCTACTAACATAAATTCACAGTCTCAATAGACTGCCGATACAGTAATGTAGGTCATCAATGGCGATATCAACAACATTGCCATCCTTAGAAAATTAAATACATAATCATTTTCTATAAATTTAAAATGTACCCTTTACCAAACTGTTACAAAGGCATCACCGACATTTGTAGCAGTGACCAGTCATCGAGTGGTTACTGCTACATCGAGTCTTACATATTTAGTAGAATACGAAAAGTGTAAAACTATTCCGACGACATTCCACCGACAGTCTATGGATACAATATTAAAATAGTGAAATTGAGGCCCTGAAGTGTCTCTTGAAGGTGTATCAATACCGCTGCCCGTGGACAGCAGTAACTCAAGTTGCACCAGAGCGTTGCCATTATTTGAACCCCCCCTATCCCCCCGTAGAATAAGGGATTGGGCCTCCGGTAACCATCAGTGTGGTGACGGATTAAGACTACAGAGTGTCACCACTCCTATTTATGCCGTGGGTGTCGCGTATGTACGCAGAGAAGGAAAACTTGAAATCCTATACCAACCCGTCTGGCCAAAACCTCCTTTGTAAATGATGTCTTTGTAAAAAGAGGCCTTTGTCCAGCAGTGGACTAGTAAAGGCTGTTGATGTTGTTGATTATGGTGGTGAACCTCACTCTCACTCACTATTTGAAAAGGAACGAAAGAATTCTGGTTGTGGAGCTCCGGTGGAGCCAACCCATGTAATTTAGGTATCTACTTTTATCAGAACGGTAGAAGAAGATTGTGCAGCTTTGTGACTGCTAAGGCTTCTTAGAAGTAAGAGAATGTATTAAAACAGTTTTCTTTTTAAAAGACTTCAAAAACACAAAAAGGAAGTTCTCAATTCGACTCAATTTTTTTTAAATGTTTTGTGACGCGATATCTCCGTCAATTGTGGACCGATTTTCAAAATTATTTTTGTAATCGAAAGAATATACTCCCAAGGTGGTCCCGTTATCACCGTATCAGGATTTGATGATAGGATCCTAGAGAAATCAAAGGAAACCTTTACATTTTACAGCTCAGACTATGTGTTTTAGCTTTTTTCTCTAGCTATAACGGTATTTGCGTTTGGCAGTCGTTCTCTCAAGTTGCTAAGCTGATGATGAAATGGTCCTAGATCTTTAGGAGTTAGAGGATAACTCTTTTAATAATATAACCACGTATTCACCTTGTTTTATTTTTTTGCAGATAAAATGCCGTATGGAACTTATTGCAATTTCGAGTCGGACGGTTGTGGTTTTGAAAACGTGTCAGACTCACAGTAAGTTATATGACTTTTTATCATGGTGTAGGGGGCAAACAAGCATACGGGTCGCTTAATGTTAAGTGACTACCGCTGACCATGAATGCTGTTCCTCGAGAGTCACAACTGGCTTGTCGCTCTTTGCTATAATAAATACATACGTGTTATAGATAGATAGCCACAGTTACGAGTGTTGTCCTAGGTGGGAATCGAACCCATGCCCGAATGATTAGCAGTCAGGAAGCCTACAACTAGACCAGCAACCAAGCAATATGGATATTAAAATCATAGAATTAAAAATTATTTTTTTAGCTTCATTCAAACTCAAACTCTCTTTATTTCATAAAAAAATTATTATTGTTTGAAATCGTCTTTTATGTAGACTCTAAAGTCATAGATCAAAACACAGAATAGCAACAATCTCTGTTTTGTCATATTTTTTTACTATTGTAAGCAAATAAATTTAATAACGTCCGTGTGGTGACGGAATAAGAATACGTAATGTTACCACCCCTATTCATCCCGTGGGTGTCGTAAGAGCCGACTAAGGGACCAAACTACGCAGGACAACAGCACTGCAAAGAGAAGGATAACTTGAAACAAACCCTATACCAACCCGTCTGGCCAGCGTGGTATAGTAGGCCAAAACCTCCTTTCTAAGGAGAGGCCTATGCCCAGCAGTGGACTGTTATAGGCTGTTGATGAAATTTAATAAAAATTATACTTATTCAAAATCTATGATATGCCTGTGCAGATCTTCAGCCCCTTGTAGATCGCGAGGGGTTGAGTCTCATGAGAAGAAAGGGCACACAAACTCATGACATTATTTTCCCTGGTACTGCTGCGTAATTATTTCTAATTTCGTGTTTGTAACTTTGAAAATGAATTTCAATACAACCATTCATCGTTTATTTTTACCCCATAGAGGAGAAATTTTTAAAAATTCTTTCTTAATGGGGGCTTACAACATTAAAAATCATGAGCAGCCAATACTTCAAGTTTGTAGTCCTAGCGGTTTATGGTCTGCATTACTGAATCAATCAGTCATTCGGAGTAATATTATATGTTCAGATTATAACTATTAGCAATATTTATAGTCACGCTGGTTTATAGCCGAAGAGGAAGGCAGATATCAAAAAAAAAGAAAAAATAATAATTGCAAAATCAGAATAAAATCTAGGTTACATTTTGTATATGATTTTCATAAAGTTTGTTACTAAACTAACATAAAACTAGTATGTGGTTATTCTAAAATATGCAAGATTGAATATAAAGAGGTAAAAACTAAATATCGAAAATTATTTTGCAAACGGCCTGAGCTAGGTGTGAGACCTGTGTTTGAGGCAGTCGCTTGACTATGTTAGTTACAGGACGTTCATGTGGTATGGTTCTAATAAATTTATAATGTAAATTACTTCAGACTGGTTTGTATACACAAATATATGTTACTTATTGTTTAATAATCTAATTATAGGTTAAATTAGATCATTTTAAAGAAAGAAAACAATACGGAATGTCACTACCCCAATTCATCTCCCGGGTGTCGTAAGAGACGACTAAGGGCGCAAAACAACGCAGGACAGCATCACTGCAAAGAGAAGGAAAACTTGACACAAACCCTATACCAACCCGTCTGGCCAGCGTGGTATAGTAGGCCAAAACCTCTTTTCTAAGGAGAGGCCTATGTCCAGCAGTGGACTATTAAAGGCTGTTGAGGATGATGATGATGAACATGTTTTCAGTGTCTGCGTAGTTAAGCTTACCTAAATATCCTCCAATTAGAGTTTGAGATGTGCATCATTCTAAACATACTTTGTCTTAAAATACCAATAATCATTCGAAATTGAGTCTAGACTAGAAGTCTCCACTTGTGCTTACCATCAGTCAACTGTTTATAAAATAATCTTCACAATCATCCTACTAATACAACTCTCAATTTTTCACAGGTCCATCCTCAAATGGTCTCGACACAACGGCCCAACCCCCACAGACAAAACAGGTCCAAACCACGATCACACTTGTGGCCCTTCCATCCCCCACCCCACATTAGTAGTCCCTCCACTCTTACCAGCCCACCTGAACTACTCAATAGCCCCGTGCGTGGGTTATTACTTCTTCGTGAATATGAACGTGACAGGACCAAATCAAGAAAAGCCAGATTTTGCTTCGACGGCTGTCATGAGAACAGCGATCTTCAACCCCCCACCGAAGGTCCACGGGAATATTACTTCAAGATACTACAACTGCTGTATAGTAAGTCATATTACTTACCATTTTCACTAAGTTTCTAATCTGCATGAATGGCGTAGCAGAAGGAAGCCGCAGCTTCCGTGATCGCGTTGATCACGGAAACGGCGACTTCCTTCTGCTCTGAGTGTTTTGAGTTCGATCCTCACATGATACAACACTTTGTGTGATCCACAAATTGTTGTTGTGAGTTTTGGTGTTCTTTGCGGCGACTTGGAGGCGACTTGGAGCCGACTGGGTGCTATGATTTTCACATATCCAGTGTCACTCTCACAATAAAGACCTCAGCACCTCCCAAGCCGAAATCCATCAAGCCGTCTAAACTACAAAAAATAAACACACATACATACATACATAGAATGGGACAGTCAGATAATGAAGATACAGTTTGGGATACAGTTCCCAAATATAGTACGTGTCGTTCTTCTTCTAATAATGTTAAAAATAATGTTTTCCTTCTCCAGATAAGGTTCTACTATCAACAAAACGGTCGCAACTACGGCTCCCTCAGCCTCAATGTGGTGGAGATGACAAACAGAGGAAACATCACCACTTCTCTTTGGTTCTCCACCAAAGATAAGGGTGAGAACTGGTATAGGGCCTCCATCATACTCCCTAACATAACACACAGGTAAGTCTTATATATTAGACTACTCTATCACGCAGTTTCACGTAAGTTTATTGTCACTGCCTCGCTTCTAATGGTAATTGCGTGATGTTATCTAAATTTAAAAACCCTATGATTCTTTTCAAAATTAGATCAGTTGCAAAATTACTGAACTAAAATTGTGAAACAACCCATTTAGGTAAATCATTTGACACTAGCGAACTATGACATCATAAACCGTTATTTTATAGAAGGTTTTACAGGACGTATTCTTACAAAGAAGTAAATGAAGTATACTAAATTTTTGATGAGAAACAATTCAAACAGGATTTTACGCTTTAAATGTCCATTTCGTATAAAAAGATGTCTTAACTCGATTTCAAATACAGATGGTTTCGTAAAAATGAATACAACTAAAAATGTTGAATGATCCCTCATTATTAGTTTTCCCCCTTATTTTATTTACTTTCAAAAGAAGACATTTCGGTAAGGAAATAAGAGTTTGTGTGTCTTGCAGGTACTTCTTAGAGTTCAAAACCCGTCGCGGAATGCGTATCTATTCCGACTCTGCCATCGACGACTTCTCCATGGCGCCGGAGTGCTTCGGCCTGAACATAGACCCTGAGGAGTTAGGGGAATATAACTACTACGATCCAGACTTCGAGGAGAAAACCACCCCTCATCCCGCTTTCGCTGATAGATTATGTAAGTTAGACTTGAGAGCAGTCAGCGTTAAGTGGTCACATGTATTTTTAAAGCAGAAATTGTTTCAATGTTAGATCATTATATTTGATTGTTACATAAAAACATACAATTATTGTAAGTATTGCTCATACACTGAAGTTCTGGGCCTCACCTACCTCTTCTGGATATTCTTACCTACTACTTACAAACTTTTGTGGTGGTGAATGGGTTGGACTCGTCTTCGTAAAAACAACTGTCGCCTGACGAATCCCGAAGATCTTTTGCATTTTGAGATCTATTTTTACGAACTCTGGCACTAAAACAAACTTCTTATGTTTACATTTTTGGGGGTAAAATAAAGGGAAATGCTTAGTCCACGTGTGAGGAGTTGCGTACAGCAGCCAGTATAACTAGAATAGAGTCGTATAACCACAGAACAGTGATGTTCACTGTCCTGTATAACAATAAGAATACCACTTTTTTTTTTTTTCGTACGGAAATCCCCTCGGATACCACCTGTCGGTGGCATGTCGGACTCGAACCGACTAAAACCGCACGCCGTCTCGGGTACTAATAGCCGGGGAACCAGGTATACCCTAGAAAGGAAGTCCCTGGTGCCCCGACATACCTCGGGTCATCTACAGACGAGTAGACGACCCCCCCCCCCCGGAGACGACCCACCCCCCGAATAAGAATACCACTGACATTAGTTAGTAGCATTTTGATTTTGTTCAAATTCAATCTTATATTAGAATGTGTTTTAACTGTATTATTCTTTGTCAGACTACCGTTTCACTACATGCGGTGCGACAGGTCGCTTTGGTCCAAATCAGACCATGTGTGACATAGCGTACAACAACACGCCGGTCTCCGTCACAGTGGTCCAGAGCCCTCCTTACCAGGGTATACAGTTCTGGGAGGTACCAGCTGAGGGACTTTATACGTGAGTATTGAATCTGCCAAAGGTCGCAGTGACATGGTACTGTTATCATAGTGAATGTTTTTGCAGTTAGATTAAAATAGTTTAATAAGATAGCATTGGTAGTGTGTAAGTGGTGCCTATATGCTGACAACACTATGGATTGGTGTTGCCAGTGATCTTATTTGTGTACAAAGCCGATTGAATTTATCGAAATAGTACTAAATAAAGGTACGTTTATTTTTAGCTTAAAAATAGAAACTTGACATGAAAAAAAATAAACGAGCCCTTTTTTTTAAACTGACAGCATATTATTACTACTACTATAAATGGCGAAGAAATCGCGTAACAAATAAACAAAGGAAGGCAAATAAGTAATAAATAAGTCGAAGTGACTTAACTTAGCGCTATTTTCCTTAATTTTCCACTCTTAGGTGTAGTATTTTCCTTAAATTTGAATGGAACTAATTAGGGTTTACCCCATCCGAATAAAAAGATAAATGTCTAGACCGGTTTATTCGGAGACAAACGTAAAAGAAACTGCTGAATTAAGAGACTCCTTATTTTTTTTTTATTCCCAAAATCAGTTCAACACGTATGTTTTACTTCTGTGCCAGGATAATAGCCACAGGCGCGAGCGGTGGTCTAGGCTCGGCCTGGGCTGGAGTGTCTCATGCTGCGAGCGTTCGTGTACTGATGGAGTTACATAAGGCAGAGAGACTCTATGTGCTGGTGGGACAGAAGGGGCTTAGTGCTTGTAAAAAGGTAAGATGACCATGCATTATTTAAATAACGTTATACTTCAAAGGTCGACCGTGCGGAAAATTCTTGATCAAATTGACGATGATCTGAAGAAGGGTAGGTCTGAAGTATCTGAAACTGGTGGTACACATGGTAACAGTGTTTTTTCCCATCAGAATTCAATGTTTTTTTCCCATCTCAAAAAATACATTCTTTTGTTTGCTGTTCAAAAACGCCCAACGCGCCTTTTTTCACTTTAAAAATTGTTAACTCCGAATTTCTATGAGGCCTACTACGTGGTATAAAAAGAGAAGCAAGTGGTAGATTTTAGTTCTTGATGTCAGTGTAGCATAAGGAGTGGTTTTAGTCGGTTCGATTCACACCGTCCCACTGAAAACCCTAGTAGGGTTTCAATACCAAGAGTCCAACGGCCCAAGAGGGTTTCCACACACACAAATAAAATAAACTGTAGTCTCTGCCTACCTCGAAAGCAAAAAGACATATGCTTTTCAATTGCGTCACTTCGCTAATAGTGGCGAGGTCCCCCTATTTTAAACCTTGCTCCATTCATGTGATCAGTCTAAACTGCGCTTAGTGTTATGGGTTCAACTACAACGCAATAATTTGACTAATCAACAAATAACTTTCTCGACTCTGGGTATATATTTGTTATGTACCTTATAGGGGGTCACGTACAAACAAGGGTCCTCGTAGGGATTTAATAAAATCACAATCACCTGTGATAAATTATATGATTTATTTATCATATAATCACATTAGCGACTAATTTACAAATCCAATGCGATTTATGACTAAGATTACGCTAGCGTTAGGAAACGTCTTTGATAAAAATTGTTTGATTTTGACTTAAGATTTTGATGGCATTTATTTTTATCTATGACTGGTAGTGATTTATCACTTTAAAATCACAGTGAGAAAAATCATATCATCATGTGATTATGATTTTAAAGAAGCAATAATTTCCATGACTAGTCCCCTGAAGGTAAGTGACCCCCCTCCCCATTTATTAGGAGGGAGTCAGGCCTTCCATAACCTCACTCGGTGAAACAACGACATAATTACTTGACACTTTTTCTTGTAAGACCGTGGTACCACTCCTGTCGAGCCGGCTGCTGTGCTAGAGCATGATTCTGCCACAGTAAACCTCGCGACCTATAAAACTACTTAAAACAAAACCCATCCAAATAAAAAGAAATAACAATATCCTAACTTCTATTATAAATATGAAAGTGAATTTGTTTGTTACGCTTTCGCGGCTAAATTACTAAACATATTTTAAAATTATTTCACCAATGGAAAGCTACATTATCAGCGAGTACCATAGGCTGCTTTTTACCGCGACATGCTGGTGGGGTCGCGGGCAAAATCTAGTCATTTATATTTGAACATAATCGTTCGTATATTACATAACTATGCCTTCTCACACAGACGCTATCAGCTCAAGAGAGTCCGGACTGCGCTCGTCGGCAGTCTAACTCCTCATTGTTTTTCACCAGCAAGACTCACGAGGTTCGAAAGACCACCGTCTCGGATGGTGGTGGAGGTGGAGGAGGAGCTACCTTCTTGTTCTTGGTATGTATGACTTGGTAAATACCTACATATTATAGATAAATCACACCCAGACACAGAATAAATTATCGTGATTATCACAGAATGATTTGTCTCGTGGGAATCAAATCCACGTCCGCAGGCTCAGCAGTTGTGACCACTAACCACCAACAGGCTCTTTTTTTAATATATTGATTTATTACGTTTAATATAATATTGATTATCTTGGTATACTTATAAAATTATTTGCTCTAATTGACTGATTTATCAACGCAGAGCTTAAACAACAACAACAGGGGTTACAAAGTTGAAGATTTGGCTGCTAATACTTTTTATGTTGTAAGCACCCTAAAACAAACCCTTTTTTTTCCATCTGTTCGCGAACGGTTGTCGAGGACATGGCTTGAGGTGGATCATTGTGTCGCTCAATTTCTTACGGGTCATGGTAACTTTAAGAGCAAGCTTTATTCATTTAAATTAGTCAAGTCACCATTGTGTCAATGCTCAACACCTAACTCTCATTATGAACAATCTGCTCATCATATTCTCTGGGAATGTAGTCTTTAGGTAGGGTCTGTAGGTTTGTTTTACCAACCCGTCTGGTCAGCGTGGTATAGTAGGCCAAAACCTGCTTTCTAAGGAGAGACCTATGTCCAGCAGTGGACTATTAAAGGCTGTTGTTGATGATGATGAATGAAAGAGGAGAAAGATTTTTGGAAATTGACCTCTAAGGGACTATTAAAGGCTGTTGTTGATGATGATGAATGAAAGAGGAGAAAGATTTTTGGAAATTGACCTCTAAGGGACTATTAAAGGCTGTTGTTGATGATGATGAATGAAAGAGGAGAAAGATTTTTGGAAATTGACCTCTAAGGGATGAACAGAAACACGAACTAAGAAATAGTCACGCGAGTGAAGCCGCAAGTAATAGCTAGTTATTAATATCTAATCCCAAACGAAATAAAACTTGCACTTAGGAGGCGTCCGTTAATTACGTGAAGTTTTTTCGGCGATTTTCTGAATGGTGAAATGTCGTGAGATTTGATTAAACCCCCTTCCCCATCCCCCAATCTCAAGTGATATTTTTTTAAATGTGTTTTTAGTGTAAAGGCGGTTAAAGACTGGCGCGTAAATAGACGACGGGCTACTGTGCAACTTCGCGGCACTTGTAATACCTTGATAAATATTATTGTATAAGACTTGGCCATATTTCCGTGGAGGAACATGTTTTACTTAATTTAACCCAGTTTTATCGCAATTTTACTCTGTTTCTTGCCTAAAAAAAAATTCGTGATATTTGTCAAGAACCCCCTTCTGAACAAAGTAAGATTAGATGAGATTCGGTTAGACATCCTCCCCCCATGAACGCGTCACGTAATTATTGGACGCCCCCTTGCTGCCGGATATGTTAGGAAGAAGTGATACAGGAATTGTTTTACAGAACCATTAAGCTGCTCTCAGAAGATAGTGTGCAATGAACCTTTCTAACAGCTTCTGTCTTTTCCAGATGGATAAAGAAGGCCAAGCAGTTCCCCTGGTAGTTGCTGGTGGAGGTGGTGGAATATCCGTGGGCAGGTTCCGAGACGATGGCTCTCAATACGCTAGAGGTCTGACCAACGCGACTCCGGGGTCAGGATATATGTACGGAACTCCGGGGAAAGTTTCTGGTAAGAAACATTTGCCTACCAGAATTTTATGTTCTATTTACGTAACATGAGGGTTTTAGTATTTTTAAAACTAGTGTCTAAATCCATTATTTTTATTACTAGGTGCCGGTGGCGGCTGGATAGGTAGTCATGGACCTGTCACTCCTGGCCACGAGGTCGTACGTGGTTCAGCCTTGCATGAGGGGGGTGCGGGAGGCCTCGCCTGCGCGGGGATAGCCCACGGCGGATTCGGCGGGGGCGGGGGTGGCTGTCTTAAGGGTGGTGGCGGAGGAGGTTGGATAGGTAAAAACAAACTGATAATAATAATAACCTTACACATCTCTCAAACCTTTTGACTGCCTCGGTGGCGCAGTGGTAGCGTATGCGACTGCTGTGCTGAGGTCTCAGGTTCGACAAATACGAAAAAAGAGGCGGCAAAAAGTTTGCTTATTACATTAGTAATTAAATTCTTTAAGTAATATAAAAATGGTTCATATAATTTTATTTTATCTACAGGGGGCAGTACAGATGAACGAAGTGGGTTACATGGTTGTGGGGGCTGGTCCTATGTGGCAACGTCCAGGGTTATACGGGACTACAGCCACGAGGCCGTACTGCCCAGGACTGCTCCGGGAGAGTTACTCATTATACCTGCTATACCGGTGAGTACCAGTTTAGAGATCTTTCACTTAAACTCATCTTCCTCCTCTTCCCTTCCTGGATCGGCTTTAAGTGTACTACGATACGGTTGAACTTTGATTTTTTACGTTAAGCGACTGCCGTCTGACCTCCACAACCCAAGTACTATTCGATATTGAAGTTCTATAGCTTTCTATAATCGGTTGGCCTAAAAAAGTCTGACAAGTCTTTACTTGTCAGACTTTTTTAGGCCTCCAACTACTGACAGCTTAACGTGCTTGCCGAGGCACGACTTAATTACATATGTTTACCTTAATACTAAGATCAAAATTGGCAATCCCTGAAACTACTGGTCGGAATTAAAAATATCTTTAAACTATAGGATATATACCTCTTGTACATATGTAATATCATTGGTTATCGCCTTCAGGGTAGGTAGTGACAGCAGACCTGCTTCTATCCTTAAATACCCCCCGAGCGTTGTCTACTGTCAAAGGGTACTTACAAGTCCACCTATTTCTGGTACTTCCGATTTGATATGTATAAACTAAATCGTAATTTAAATATCTAAATAATATTGTATACTGATCCAATATCTTGCGATTTAAAAATTGAAGGTAAAGTTCAAACTTAAAGGTGTAGCCATGGTGAGTTTCGATACCCACATGTAACATAAATGCATGTATATCACACTTAGTTGATTCGAGTCTGGAGGTTCTTACGTATCAGTTGTTTTAATGTTCAGTTTTATTTTTATTTTATCCGCCTCAGTGCTAGCAGCAAAGATGAGGGGGCAAAAGAGTAGACTGGTCACCAGAGCGGTAGTACTTACCCGGTGCCATATGCTTTCTATACTCAAGTCACAAGTGCGTTGCCAGCTATTAAGGCGGGAGTACGGCCTTTTCTTGAAGGTTTGAAAGTAATATCGGTCGAGCGCGATAGGTAAACAGTTTCTTGAAAAGCTCACACTGGTGGACTGACAATTATTCTCCACCATATAGGAATTTTCCCATAATTATCTTTAAAAAATAATATTTTTTATTATTCAGGATTGCGATTGCGATTATCGGTGCGTTGCACTAAACGAGTGGCGAAGCGAAGTGAAGTGTTACTGTCCCGCCACTTGGACCACAGATGCTCACGATCCAACCAAGTGCATACGTAAGTGTCTTTATCTTCTATACATCTTCTCTACAAATAAATAAAATTGGAGTGTCTGTTTGTAATATTAAAATAACCGCTTTTTACTAAATGCATATGTATGTTTACACAGTACATATGCCAAAATAACATTTTTTACAATTTTTGTCTGTCTGTCTGTTTGTTCCGGGTAAACTCTGGAACGGCTGGACCGATTTCGACGGGACTTTCACTGGCAGATAGCTGATGACAAAATTAGTAACTTAGGATACTTTTTTTAGACTAGGTTCGCCCTGGGGCGTTGCCCGCGGTTATAACAACAAACGCGGGTAACACCGCGGGTCTCAGCTAGTTAATTCTATAAACGCCAATGTCACATGTTCACGCGTGAGGCGCGCGGGCAACCAGCGGGGGGCAGGGGGCGCGGGGGACAGGGGGGGGAGCGCGCCGGGAGCCACGATTGCGGCACTTGAGGGTGGCACGAGCCCCTCCACTTGACGACCGAGCGGCGCGCAAGACACACGCGTTCTCCCGAGACCGAAGGGATATTCTTTTCATACTACACTACTATTAAACGTGACAAACAAAATAGATGTTCACAAAACTAGCATAATTTATTTTTATAGGAAGTAGGTACTTATTGTGTACGAAATCGCGAAAAGGTTTAAACCTGTATTAACATTGTAACGGCATTGTCAACTAGTTATATTCATATTGTGTTGTTTTGTTTCGCTAAGACGTTTTTTTAGCCAAACTAACTATATTTTGTACAATCTTTAGATTGTGAAAGAGACGAAAGGAATAAAAAAATAAGTTTTCCGTTTTCAGTAAAACTAATGGGCAACTCCATGGATATTCAAAAAGCTTTCATAATACGGTCGACCTAATACGTAGTAGCCGTCAACCCGCCGCTTATTACTGCGTTGAGTGTGTGGGTTCGATCCCCACGTGGGACAACATTTTGTGGACAACAACGCAGCAAGAGGTGACCTTTGCCAAAATTTTCTCTGAAATGTCTGATGTCAAGGAAAAAGTACACCAAATACAGCAAACAAACATAGAAATCGAAAAGTCGATAGAGTATATGTATAAACAGTATGAGGACCTGAAGCTTCAAATCTTGGACCTTGAAAAGACCCGAGATGAAATTGCTGAAACTATCAACAGGCTCGAGAGGCAACTCCAAGATGTGAAACTGAGTTCGAGGTCATCTACTGTCGAAATACGCAATGTTCCGAACAAAGAAAATGAATCAGTTGAGGATATGATTGATATTGTGTCTCAGATCGGCAAAACTATCAACTTTGAAGTACCAGCGTCGGAAATACGCGATATATATCGTTTACCAGCCAAACCTGGGACGAACAAAGCTATTGTGGCTGAGTTTTCTACTGTGCGTACTAAAACCAACTACCTGTCGGCTTCTCGCAATTTCAATAGAAGCCGAAAATTAGAAGATAAATTAAATACGCAAGTAGTAGGCATGTGCGGTGATAAAAAACCGATATATGTCGATGAATATCTTCCCGGCTCAATGAAGAAACTATTCCTGCAGTCTAGAGACTTTGCCAAAAAGAATGGCTTTAAATTCTGCTGGATTTCGAATGGTAAGATTCTCCTACGCAGAGGCCCGGAGTACAAGGAAAC